CTACTTGACTTCCTCGACATGTGGAAATTCTGTATCTACACTATTCCCTCTTTTTGCTTTTTATTTGACTTCATTATACGTTCATATCTCTGGTTTCCTATTTTAATTCTTGTTAGGTTTGTTTTAGTTTAAAATACTCTCTCTCTAGATTGATTTCTGTGTGGTGTTGTCATGTATGGTAATCGCAGGTTGTTGTCTGCTGTTGCAGGTTCTCTGTCCAAAGAGCACTTTTTAGCATCTTTTATAAAGTCGGCCTGATCATGGCAAATTCCTTCAATTTCCATTTATCTGGAAATACACTAATTTCACCAACTTATTTGCGGGATAGCTTTGCTGGGTATGAGATTTCTCAGTTGGCAATTTTTTTCTTACAGAGTTCTGTATGTGTCATCCCATTACCTTCTTGCCAGCATGGTTTCTGCTGAGAAATCAGAGTTTAATGTTATTGGTTCTCATTTGTAGGTAACTTTTCATTTTCCCCGAGCTGCTTTCAGGATTCTTGTCTGGTTTTAAAAGTTTGATTATGATATGTCTGGGTGATTTCTTTTGGGACCAATTCTGTTTGGGATTTGTTCAGCTTCTAGTATGCTTAACTTCCTGTCAGAGGGAACACTCTGACCAGTCCACCTGAGTTACAGTTTTCTACTCCCCCTCTAGCCAGGTCCTGAACACTGATGTGCCATATCGCACATGGTTCCTGGCACATACTGGGTTTGGCATTGCTGTATTCCAGTCTCTCAGCTGTTAGAGCAAGCAGTGTATAGAGTAATGGGTGGAAGAAAAACAGTGATGTTTTTTAGCCAACTGTGGACCTTGACTCCGATCACTTTCCACCCTAGCTGCTGTTCCCACCAACCAGGACCTAGCCAACTGCTTCTCCCCAGGGTTCCTTAAGTGTTTGTTACTTTCTTAGATTCCACAACTTTTCTCTCTCTCTTTTTTTTTTTTTTTAAGCAAAATGCAAGGTTGGAGTTCAAGAGAAGGAGCTAGCATGATTTAGTTCATCAGTTTTTGAACGACATTATCTTCATAGTGATGATTAACAATACAACTGCTGTCACTTCAGGGGAAAATGACTTTAATACAAATTAAGAAAAAAAAAAAATCTTACTTTGCTTAAATGGAAATATATTTAGCCCACAAATGTTTGAAGGAAGTTTTAACTTCACTAATATTAGAAGAAGAAGAATACATACTGGTGGCACTATAGGATAAGCTCTGGGCTGCTAACGATAGGTTGGCAGTTCAAATACACCAGCAGCTCCATGGGAGAAAGATGAGGCTTTTTTGCTTCTATAAAGATTGATAGCTCAGGAAACCCATACAGGGTCACTATGGGTTGGAACCGACTGGATGGCACCTAATAGCAACACCACCACCATACCTTTGGTAGAACAAAAAATAAAGGATTTTAAAAAGTAGTGTACTCAGTGCTGACATTATTCAGTAATATAATGTCATATACACACTACTGATGAATACCTAATTCAATTTATCCCTTTTAGAAAATATCAAACTTACTTCTACTTATTACCATTGACTTACAGCAACCTTAAATATTGTTTCCAATACTAAATCTTTACAGTAGCTTCATCTTTCTCTGTCTAAGAGGTTTGTGGGTATGAACCATTGACCTTTCAGTTATCAGACCAATGTTTAACCCACAGTGCCACCAAGGCTTCTTAACTTATCTCCAGAATCTTAAAATGTTTATTCCTTAACCCTGTTGTTCTCCTTCTGGAATTCTAGCCTAAAGAAAGCTTTCATTATGAAAAAAATCTTGAGGTACAAAGGAATGCATTGAAATAGTATTTAAACTGTCAACCCAATGGCATATTATGACTTTATTAAAATGGTCTTCTTGAAGAGTATGTGAAAAAAAATTTCAGTAAGCAAAGTATATATACAAGGGGACTTCAAAAAGTGTAGAAAAATTCCGTTATCATGTAATTTTTCTATGAGCTTTTTGAAGCCCCCTTCATATTTATGTTGATTCCTTTGAGAAAACAATTCTGTGAAGAAATCTGCCCTCATTATTGCTAGTTACCCACTTTGATGACTGGTTTAGGAATCCTGGTGTGGTGCTGTGGGTTAATGCACTGGACTGCAAAGTTGTTTGAACCACAAGGTCGATGGTTCAGACTCACCAGCTTCTTGGAAACCCTATACAGGGTCGCTGTGGGTCGGAACTGACTCAACCGCACTTAACAACTGGCTTATTTTAATTAGCATAATTGTTCAAAGATCATCTAACTTGTAGCATGTTTCAGGACTTCTTTATTTTTATTATTATTATAATTTCATTTCTTTTTATAGTTGAATACTATTCCATTGAATGTATATACCACATTTTGTTTCTCCATTCATAGGTTGATGTTTTGTTGTTACGTGTCATCGAGTCAGTTCTGATTAATAGCGACCCTGTATAGGGTTTCTGAGGAGCAGCTGGTAGGTTTGAACTGCCAACCTACCTGCCAACTGGTGTGGTGATACAGCCCCATACCAGACGCCCCAGACATTGATAGATATTTAGATTTTTCTACCTTTTGGGTATTGTGAAGTGTTTCAGTGAGTACTGGTGCACAAGTGTCTGTTTGTATTCTCGCTGTCAGTTCTTTTGAGTATATATCCAAGACTCGGATTGCTTGGGCATGTCCTTAGTAGCACAGTAGGTTAAGCATTGGGCAGTTAACAAAAAAATCAGCTGTTTGAACTTATCAGCCACACTGAGGAAAAAAGATTTACAGCCTCAAAAACCCAGTGGAACAGTTTTCTTCTGTCTTACAGGGTCATTATGAGTTGGGTAGGGTCTTATGGTAATTCTGTGCTTGAATGTTTGAGAGACTGTGGAACCGTTTTCTGCAGTTACTTGTTAAGTGTTGTTGTTAAGTGTTGTGGAATCAGTTCCAACTCATAGTGACTGTCAATAGGGTTCTGATATACCAGGTTATAATTTGACCTGCCATAGTTAGGCTTCCAATTTTTCTATATCCTCACTAACAGTTGCCATTTTTCATTTTTAAAAATCATAGCTATTCTAGTGGGGTGAAGTGATATCATGATTTTGATTTGCATTTCCTTAATTTTTTCACACATAATTTGACTGACTGGCCATTCAGATATCTTTGGTGAAATGTCTGTTCAAGTCCCTTGCCCATTTTTTTGTTGGGTATTGTCATTTTGTGGTTAAGTTGTAGAATTTCTTTTATACTGGATATTAAGTCCTTTTCTAATATATAGTACTCAAGTGTTTTCATCTAATTTGTAGATTGCCTCTTCGCTTTGTTTGATGTACAAAAAATTTTTAATTTTGATGAAGTTGAGTTTATCTATTTTATCATTTGTATTCCTGCTTTTGGTGTTGTATCTAAGATATTGACAAATATCTTAGAACCAACTTGATAGCACTTAACAACAACATTTTAATAAACAATCCCTTTCAAAATATCCCTACAGTTTAACAGGATCCCAGTTCTCAAAGCCCCTCTTGGAACCTTGCTACTCATGACCATTGCCATCACTTGGGATCTTGTTAGAAACGCATAGAGTCTCATTCCCCCAGTTCTCATAAGCTCCCAGGTGATGCCATTGCTGTTGTCCATGGACCACCCTTAGCAGTAAGACCTTACAGCACTCTCTTGAAGCCATTTTTTTTTTTTTTTTTAAACTGGATCCAGATGTAGATTTTTTTTAAAGTGGATCTTTGCTTTCACCACATCAAAGGAGGGCAAGATTGAGGATGCACTCTATGAATCTTTGAGAGCCACAGACTAATATAGATATGACAGATGTGCCCTGTCATAACAACATAAGCCTGCTGTGAGGCCCAATTTAATCCATCTCTCCGCAGCATTCAGAGTGTCTGAACTAGAATGTGTGAAGAATAACTGATAGCAGTCTAGCCAGAATAAACCGAGATGGGGAGACTTCTAGTTGGAAGAAAAGACACTGTGCCCATACCATGCATGCCTAATGCAAATTCATTAGCAGTTTATCATGCAACCATTAGGTATGGCCAGAGTTATTTTAAGTTACAGTGTCATCACAGGAGTCTGTGTGGAAAGTTAAGGAGTTATAAATTACTAGTGTGTGAGGCTAGATCAAGAAATCACTTGTTGTTGTTAGGTGCTATCAAGTCGGTTCTGACTCATAGTGCCCCTGTGCACATCAGAACGAAACACTGCTTGTTGGTCTTGCACCATCCTCAGTTGTTACTACACTTGAGCCCATTGCTGCTGCCACTGTGCTAGTCCATCTTGTTGGGGATCTTCCTCTTTTTTTTGCTGACTTTCAATTAGAGGCAAAAAGAGTTGGCAATGGATGGTGGTGACAGTTGTGCCACATGGGGATTGAAGTTGGTGTGGCTGGATTGTACCTGTAGCATTGCTTGAAATGGCAAGTGTTTTGTTGAATATATATTGCTATAATTTTTTTTTTAATCTTTAAAAATATCAATTAGACAAGATAGAAATGGTTGAGAAGAGAATCAAGGTTGATGCTCAGTGACTTGTGTGAATAAGTTTACCTAGAGATTGCAGAAGGAAGACAGGTCTGAGGTCTGTGTCTTACAGATTGAGTGTGGGGCATGCTGTGTGGGTGTGCAAAGCCTGGAGATGCAGGAAGGAGTGGACTGGAGCTCCAGACACTCTCAGAGTATTCCTGATGATGTATATGAAGCTACAAATGAATGAATGTTGAGATCCTTCAGAGAAAGCCCTCAAAGTGAGAAGAGACGAGTGCTGAGTACGGATGGGACTCTCTGAAAGAATAATCAAACACTGCGATGGAGAGAAGGTATCCAGAGAGGCAGTTGACATGAGAGTCTAGAGAAGAGTTCAGGATGGCTTGACTTCCATTTTATTTTACTAAAAGGTTGATGATCTTCTAATAGATCACACTAGGATCTTCTAATAGGTCTTCTCCAGCATTGGTGGTCATAAGTGTTTGGTTTTGTTGTTGTTTGCTTCTAGCTAACCAGTTTGCTTCTGTGCATTTTTAAGGTCCTTAAAATTCTGGTCAGGGCAGTGATTGATGGGGTGACTGATCGGAATGGAGAAGTCGCAACTGGCCTCAAAGGAAAGCTGCAGGAGTTATTTGGCAGGATAACTTCAAGAGTGACAAATGATGGCGAAATCTGGCGGCTGTATGCCCAAGTGTATGGAAATGGGCAGAGTGAGAAGCCTGATGAAATTGAAAAGGTAAGTCTTCCTGCCCTCCTGGACCCCCTTACCTTTTGTTTGAGCATGTGTGTAGGAGAGCGCTTTTTAGATAGATGAGGGAAGAGTTTGATCATTGGAAAGTTAGGATAATGTACTCAATTTTTCACTTTTGATTCAGAATCTTGCACATAAACACTGTGAATTGTCGACAGGTTAAAACTTGTAAACATTGTTTTATTCTCCTTTCCCATTAATTTTTCCTGGCCCTCTGTTTCCTACAGAAGGGTCTCTTTGACCTGCTGCCCCCTACTGGACCTACAGTAGACAGCTGGTTTTTGTTTTTGACCCCACCCCTTTCTACAGGGTCATTGCTAAAGAATAAGGCAGATTGGGTAGAAGGACAGAAACAGTGTTTAGATCTGAAATGAGAACTACAAAAGGGAAGAAAAAGAAAGTAGATACGGATGTTGGAAAAGTCTTTAAAAGCCTAAACATCGAATGCTTTATAGAGGTGGTTCTGCCCCTTTCTCCCTAGTGCAGTAGAATACCAGTGACTTAAGTTATGCCAATAGCCTCTTATCTTAGAACTTGAAGGAGCCCCTAGAGAGTTCCCAAGGTTAGAATAATTGTTTTGTGTTTCTTTGTATAACCATTCCAACAAATCAAGTGTATTCCTTCCATGGGTTTGGAATTAACCACAGTACAGATAATCTAGCGGCTTCATAGCCATCTCGTCCTCCCTCAGTTCACCCAGCTGGTTTCCACCAGTGCCTTGTCAGCCAGCCCGAGAACACAGACTTGCATGCACCCACTCCTACTTTCTGTCTCTCCACTCCTTCTTGAATTATGTACTCTCTTGAATATACGGAATTAAGGGTATTTGAATTCTCTGATCTGTGATTTCTCCTTAAGGAAACCACAAAGGAGAATCGTGAAAGAGAAAGAATGCCTTTCTGGGAATGTACATGCCTCAGAAATGACAGTTTTCACCAAATTCACTCCTTATTCCTTCAACTGGTCTCTTAAGCTGAATGCTACAAATGCTAGGGAAATCTGTCCACTTCTTATAGATTTCCAAATATGGCCTTTAACACTTCTCCATTTGATTTCCTTTAACTGCTTGTTGCTATTGTGTGTGCATCTGCACCCCTTCTTTGAGGAGCATAAGGAGTGTGCTATATTACACAGATGTAGGGTTTTCAAGTTGGGATTAGTTCCATATGACTTGCAGGAAACCTGGATTTGAAATGTGAATTCTAGTTGTATTCTGAATGTTGTTCTTTCTCTTTCCTCAGGCATTCCAGTATCTCTCTAAGGCATACAAGTGTGACACACACTCCAGTTGTTGGGAGAAAGATGTGACATCATTTAAGGAAGTGGTTCAGAGAGCCTTAGGACTTGCACATGGTATTTGATGGTATATTTGATATCCATGGCATGTTTTAATGTGTTTGGCACTAATATGAAAGAGTACTTACTAGTCAAATTAAAATTCCATTATTAATTATTTGATTATTTGATTATAAGGAAGTTGTGTTTAATTCAGTGGACATTTTAGATCAACTTCTATGTGTTGGCATTTTGGAGCAATAAGAAGAGTTAGGATAGCTTGAATAAGTGATGGGTATTAGAAAAGTATTTAGAGATGTTAAATAGTTTTACAACTGTACTTAATTTTACTCTACAGAGTCTGTTTGTATTGATTTAATAGTATTAAGGAAACCAGTTAACTATTCCCTGATTTATGTTCTCACTTTAGTGAAAATATTTATTTTTAAAAACAGAGATCTCTGGATCACATTGCAATAGACAAAGAACAATGACATCTACAAAAGAAATGTAAAATGTAATCTAATTCCTATCTGAGACGTTTAAAGGGTGTTTTGGTGGGGAGGGATTGTAGGCATAAGTTTACATATAAAAGTTAACACATCTGCTGGGTACATACATTACACATAATGACATCTTTTAATTGTTTTCATTCATGGAAAATATACTGCTTCAATAGTAATATACTATTCTATTTGTATTTGAATATGGGTGTGCAAGGACTTGGGAATGCAGTTCTAATAAAATAGCAAAGCCACAGTAGTAAGGAGTGTACCTAGGACTGTGAAACTATCTTAAAGACTTCTTCCTGCAACTAAGCTACAGCAGGTAGGGTGGCAGTGAGGGACAATGACAAAGGCAGAGCTTTAGTATCAAGGAGACCTAAGCCCCAGGACTTTGGGCGAATTACTTATTTTCTGAGCCTTAGTGTCTCTTACTGCTAAATGGAGATCCCTCCAGCCACTGCCATTGAGTTGCTTCTGACTCATAGCAACTTCAGGGCTGTAAATCTTTATGGAAGCGGATAGCCTCATCTTTCTTCCTCAGAGCAGCTGGTAGGTTTGAACTCCTGACCTTGTAGTTAGAAATCTAGTGTTTATCCTATAGTGAGTGCCACCAGGGTTCCTTAAAATGGGGATAGTACCTACATATGGAGTCCTGGTGGGGCACTGTAGGATAAGCATTGTACTGCTAACCACAAGGTCAGCAGTTCAAACCCACCAGTCACTCCTTGGAAAACCCTATATAGGGTTGCTAGAATCAGAACTAACTCGATGATGCTTAACAACAGTGACAATTTACATACAATTGTTTTGGAATATAAATGAAAACATTTAGATAATAGTATTTTTAGAGTACTGGTGTGGTGCATAGGATAAGCACTGGACTGTCCACCTCAAGATCAGTGGTTCAAACCCACCAGCCAATCCAATACAGAGTCTCTGTGAGTCGGAATTAACAACAACAATAGTATTTGTACACCGTTTAAATAAT